TACCGCTCTTACGACGAAACAGCATGCTTCTGCTGCTGCTGCTGCTGCTGTTCTGTGTTTGAGGCTGTCTACTGCTGCTGCAGCAGAGTTTCTGCTGCTGCGGCAGCCGGGGCGCAGCAGCAGCACAGCCAAGCGGTGTAGTATAAGTGAGGCTTGCTGCTGCTGCTGCTGCTGCTGCTGTTGCTTCTTCTCGTGCTGCTGTTTTTTACATTTGCTGCATATAAACTAAAAACACAAAGAAACAATAAGAAAAAGAAGATACACAGACTGCATGCTGGTTGTTATCAATCACCCGCAGCAGCAGCAGCAGCAGCAGCAGCAGCAGCAGCAGCAGCAGCAGCAGCAACAGCAGCAGCAGCAGCAGCAAGCAGCCGTGGGGCCCCAGCAGCGATATAGCTGCAGCTCACTGCTGCAGCACAAAACAAAACCAAAATAATTTAAGTTTTTTTAGTTTTTATTTATAAAATAAAAAAGAAATTCATTCTTTTTGAGGGTTTTGAGCTGCATATACACCTGAAACACACAAACCACCACCGGCTCTACCACCTCGAGGCAGCCGACCAGTCGGCGCAGCCACCAAACCCTAAACCCTAAACCCTAAACCCTAAACCCTAAACCCTAAACCCTAAACCCTAAACCCTAAACCCAGAAACCCTTGAAACCCTTGAAACCCTTTTTTTAACCCAATATCCTGGATTGTTCCTTATCTTTAAACCCTAAACCCTAAACCCTAAACCCTAGCCCCTCTATCCCTTCCTGCATCTGTTCTCTACGTAGACTCTAGGGTTTAGGGTTTAGGGTTTGCACCTGAGATAGAGGTCCCCACAGCCAGCCCCGCCGCCAGCAGCGTAGCCGCTAGCTCTGCCTCTACCCTCTACACTCTAGGGTTTAGGGTTTAGGGTTTAGGGTTTAGGGTTTATACCTGAGATAGAGGTCCCCACCGCCAGCCCCGCGGCCAGCAGCGTAGCCGCTAGCTCAGACTGTACACTCTCCACTCTATATTCTAGGGTTTAGGGTTTAGGGTTTAGGGTTTATATATACCTGAAATAGAGGTCCCCACGGCCAGCCCCGCAGCCAGCAGTGTAGCCGCAAGCTCAGACTTTATAAGATCTCTATACTCTACACTCTACCCTCTATATTCTAGGGTTTAGGGTTTAGGGTTTAGGGTTTATACCTGAGATAGAGGTCCCCACGGCCAGCCCCGCAGCCAGCAGCGTAGCCGCAAGCTCTGACTTTATAAGAGAATTCCTCTCTACCCTCTACCCTCTATACACTCTCCACTCTATATTCTAGGGTTTAGGGTTTAGGGTTTAGGGTTTAGGGTTTATATATACCTGAGATAGAGGTCCCCACAGCCAGCCCCGCTGCCAGCAGTGTAGCAGCTAGCTCAGACTCTACCCTCTCTACACTCTACCCTCTATATTCTAGGGTTTAGGGTTTAGGGTTTAGGGTTTATATATACCTGAAATAGAGGTCCCCACGGCCAGCCCCGCAGCCAGCAGTGTAGCCGCAAGCTCTGACTTTATAAGATCTCTATACTCTACACTCTACCCTCTATATTCTAGGGTTTAGGGTTTAGGGTTTAGGG